AGAGCAAAGAGTGGCCTGAGAGAAGAAAAGAAGTTTGCATGAGTGTGGGTTCACTTTCATGCCCAAATAATAATAGTGACCAGAAGAGGCTGAAGGCCAAGGCAAAGCTAAAGTATTACACCATTATACAGATGTGAAGGAAGGTGTTTTGATGTCATTTTAGTTTTTAGAAATAAGGCAGAATAGTGAACTGTATATTAAAATTTGAGTGTAATTGCCAAATGAACATAAATAAATAATATCTCTAAATCACCTATGTGTGAATGGGGTGGTGTGAAATGTTAGAAAAGCTGTCAGTATGGTAGAACACAAGAAGAAGAGAAAGAAACATGGGTGAAAAGCACAAAGTAAGCCTTCGTGTGTGTCTGTTTATGTGTTTATGTCATGGTGAGAGCGAAAGCTCATATATGCCATTTTATAATGCATGTTTTTTTTAACAACTGAAATTGGGTTTTTTTTTTATTAGCCATGCACCATTAAAGAAATGATACATTTAATACAATGAGATTTACAAGTCCTACTTGCCCTTGTAGGCCTTGTAGTTGAATATTATCAAGGTGAGAAGGCGGCGCTGAGAAAGACTGTGATTTCCTGCTCCAGGGATTAGAAAGTCACTGTTTAGGGGTGATTGATGGAAAGTGACACATTGGAGGCAAAAACAGCTGAACATTGACTGAGTTCTTCCTAAGCCATGACTGGGGACTACAGAGAAAATTGACAAGTGTCAGGAGAAAGGTGCCATGTGATCCAGAAACTGAGACACTGGTGAGCAGGACCGTGTCATGCATAGATGGTCGAAAAAGACAAGGATGTTCAAGAGGAGATACCAAGGTTAAAGAACACAGACAGCAGGATATGTTGAGTGGGATGAGCGTAGAGAAGTTGTCTTGGGATTGGGCTGTCAGAGGACACACTGGGAGGGTATAAGGCGTTTCCCCATAAGAGGCTTAAATAAAAAGAAAAAAAATTGAGGGAACAAGAGTGAATTTCTGTATCAGGAAGTTCAAAACCTGGGGAGAAGTACACTGGCCTAGCATCGCCAATGCTATGGCTTCAGTCTCTAAGACCACACATAACTAGGCACAGCAGTATACAGGATCCTAGGACTTCGGAGGTAGAGGCAGGAGAATCAGAAGTTTAAGGTCATCTTCCAGTTCAGCCTTTGTTAGAGACTCTGTCTCAAAATACGTGAAGCTCACAGTCTGGAGAAGGGCTGGAGAGATGGTTCAGCTGTTAAAGGCTCGCAAAGACAAAGGGATGGATGGTGAAATCTCAAACAATTTATCTTGCAGTGAGTGACAATGGTATTTCAAAAAGTAAAATCTCGTTGGGTGGAACCCTTAGGACCTAAGTTTCATAGGGAGGCATTCTCTCCAAGTGGCCTAGTATTCAACTTTTTTTTTTTTTTTTAAATTTTAGTATTCAACTTTTAAAATGTCAAAGCCTTTGTGTGTGTGTGTGTGTGTGTGTGTGTGTGTGTGTGTGTGTGTGTGT